CATGTGCCTGGAAGGAAAGACACTGTTAAACTCTAACTTGGAAAAGGAAGTAATAGCTAATATGTTATTGGGATGTAATTGAGGACATAAGTATATTCTAATCCGTCCAGAACCCGGCAAAAGGAATGCAGAGGCTCTAGAAGGGATGAAGTTCTTATAATAAGGAGCATAGTTCTTTGATAAAGAGGAGGTTGTCAATGGATTTAAAACGTCTTTGTTAGGGATGATATTGGGGAAAGTATTAAGAGGGTTCATAATACTAAAAATATGAACAACAATAACGAAGCAGGAAGAACATCAAGAATCCATGCAAACAACAAGTTTTCTAGATAAAGATTTAAAAGGAACAAGAATGAAGTGCAAGGTGAACTTACTTGGTATAATATCCAACGCTAATGGAGAAAGAGAACATAAGGCTTGAAGAAACGTCATGACAAAGATAAAGAAGACGCAGATGAAGGAGAAAGAGGAAGTAGAAGAAGAACATTCAAAGGAAAATATGAGAAGAAAGAGTGTAATATGAAAAAGGGAAACTAAAAGGGTTAAGAAGGAAATGTATAAATCAAGGCGACGTTTTGAATTTCAAAAGGAAATGATTGAAAGAGGTCATATCGCGCTGTTTGAGAAAATCGAGATAAATGAAAATAGGACATGTGGCAGGTACAGACTGAAAGGACATGAAACATTAAATGGTAGTGTTAATTGGTTACTCTAAGTTTATCAGATAAGGCTAATCAGTATCGTTAACTCAGAGTATTTTATATATTATACTCCGAGCTGGGGGGGCTTAATGTTCCAGGTTGGTAATATGGGCTTAGGTTGTTGGATATTTGTTATACCTTAATTGTTTAATTGATTTAAAGTATGTTTTGATAATTACAATCAATTTAATGTTAATTTAATTGATAATATTTTATTGTCTTGAAATTACTAATGAGCTGATTGTTTGAGATTTCAGAATAATATTTATTCTGATTTGAATTAGTATTCAAGATAATTGGAGATTGCATGAAGATCGGAGAAGATATCATGAAAAAATAGAAAAGCATGGAATCAAGTAAAGATTAGGATAGATTTTATCTTTTTAGATTTCATGTAAGAGAAATAAAATATTCTTTGTCAAAGATTTGATTAGGATTGCATTACATAATAGATTAAGATGTTATTATTATAAATAGGGCTCATTGCATATTATTTCAGTGTAGAGAAAATACAAGAGAGAGAAGATAGAAGAATATACAAGAAAGAAAAGAGAGAATTAGATTTTCAAGATTAGGATTTTTTTCTTATGCATCAATTGAAGAGCTTTCTCAAGAACAATCATTCATACATTCATCCATTTGCAAAGTGAATATTTCTCCATAAGAATTCAGATTACCTATCTGCTTGAGGAAAAGAAGCACTGAGGTAAGTCATTTAATTGTAAATTTCTTCTTGACCTTTTTGAAGGTCTATACTGGGAAACTTGGATACCAGTTCTTGTGCTGGGAAACTGGGATAACATCATGTCTCTTTTTCTTAGAAATTGAGAGTATGTTGAGAACCCTTGTGTGATAAGATTTCAGAATCCTAAAGGATTAGGGTTTCGTATTGAGAAACTCGGATACCAGTTTAAGAATCTGTGTAAAGGGTATACTAGAAAACTAGTATACTAGAGAACTCTTTGTACACAAGTTTCATAGTGGAGTTGCCCGTCGAATTTCAGTATTCGATTTTTGGGCCCGTGGTTTTTCTTCCATTTTGGGTTTTCCACATAAAAACTATTGTGTTAATATCTCTCTATCCTTATCTTGATTTATTGCTTTGAGTTAATTTTTAATTAGCGAATTATTTTTATAAGACTCAATTCACCCCCCTCTTGAGTTCATCTGGGACCAACATAGGTAAATTCGGATAAGGCCCATATCCGGGTAAGGCTAACTAGTTCAGTATTAGTACTTATACCCGAAACCAGTCCTAGGAGCCCGAAAGGTGACTTTAACTTGTGCTTTAGTGGCACACGTGGACCCTACCACAATCTTAAAAATGGCACTACTGATAACTGCCCACTATAATTATAACTGTCAGCCATATCATATATAAGGATCATAAACAAGTTGAGAACAACATATAACATACCAGAGAAATTAATCCATTAATGTTCATACACAACAAACAATAATTATTTGTGACCTTTGTTGAATCATTAAGTTCCTTGTTCAAGATTTTTTCACTATAACTTAAATTTGCATGGGTGCTTCATAAATCGTTATAAACTCTAACCTAGAGTGGTTGAAAATCTTTCAAACTTCAAACTTTAATTGTGTTTGAGAACCTTCCAAGTTTTTGGGTTTTATCACCATCAAGCTGACATCACATTATAAAAATAGTTTAGACTTTAATATACCTTGTTAAAGTATGAATAATATAAATTGAAGAATTGAATATTGATTTATTAAAATAAAAACAACATTCAAAGGAATTAATAATCAAGATGTAATAATAATGATAGGTGCAATAATTTATCTCAATAAACAACCAATACTCACGTATAGTTTTTGTCATGTATAGGTAGGGGTGGCAATTTGGATTGACCCGCCCCGACCCGCTACCAACTCGCCAAAAACGGGGCGGGGCGGGTTGGCCCGCCGTTGAATATAGGTTGAAAAATTGAACTCACCTCGTTTTGTGGTGGGTTGGCAGGTTGACGAGTCAACTCACCAACCCGCTAATTAAAAAAAATTAATTAAAATTTAAAATAAAATTATGTTTTATGAATTTTTTCTAATATTATTTTATCTTATTTCGCACTTCTCTTAATTTTTTTCGGTCTCAATCTTAAATGTATACTAATATTTGTTAAATATTATTTAGGAACTCATTTGTCTCCATATGTAGATAACATTTGTCATAAATAAAATTGTTATTCTTTGTCTTTTATAGGAATTATTAAGATAAAAAAAATTGGATATCACAAAAATTTAATGTCAAATGAAATACTACCTAATTGTAAAATATATATATATATATATATATATATATATATATATATATATATATATATATATATATAACCCGGCGGGTCAACCCGCCCCGCAGCGGGTTGAACCTATTTTAACCCACTTTTAGGCGAGGCGGGTTGAAGTGAATTGGTGGGTTGAAAACTTCAACCCAACCCATCCTGTTTTGACGGGTTGACCCGTCGGACTCAACTCATATTGCCACCTCTAAGTATAACTCTTTAAAACCATTACTAACTTGATAGAAGCAAAATAATGATTACTCATGGGAGTGATCGATTACCTTTTCCAAGTAAAAGTAATGCAATGCATTGGTTTCTTAACAAAAAGTAATGTCGAAAAGTGTAGTTACTTTCATTTTGAAATGGTTCTAACACTTTTAAGAATGTTTAATTTGCTTTAGGAAAACGGTCGATGATATTAAAATTTGTTCTAGAAAAATAGTCAATGATATTAAAATAGGGGAATGTTATACTTACAACCTATTTTCCTTTACAACCTCTTACAACCAATATCTTAATCGTTGATTTCCATCAATCAACGGTTAAGATTTTTGCAAATAAAATTTATTAAATAATTATTAATTCACAATAAATATTAACCATTGATTGACGGAAATCAACGGTTAAAATATTAGTTGTAAAAGGTTGTAAAGGAAAATAGATTGTAAGTATAACCTCTCCTATTAAAATATATTGAACTAATTTTTCCAAACATTTTAAGAGATCTTATGAAAATCATACATTTTAAGCTCATTCATGCAAACCTTCAAATCCCTTAAGTCCTAAAAAATAAATGTAATAAGGTCCTGTACTCTTGTATTATGATTGTATTCTGATCCTTTTCTTGAATTATTGCACCTGGTAAAATTTATTTCACTTGATGTTTTTATATTTTATTTTTTTCGAATTCCTTCTTGATTTATGCTTGATGTTCATTCTTCCAGAGTTTATAACGATAAAAACCTTTTCGACATCGAATATATCTTTATGAGAGTATGTTCCCCTGTATTAAAAGTAGTAATCATATGGTTACCGAAAAAAAGAGTAGTAATCATAAAAGGGTAGTAGAATTTGAGTATCAAATGGGTTGTTTTTTATTTGTTTTTTAAGATGTATTGAGTCTTTAGTATTTTTATATAGAGAAAAATATTTATGCAGTTATTGTAGATAAGTTATCTGCATTTATTCTCAAAATGACGTCGTTTTGAGATTGAAATATTAAAAAATTATAATTATAAAAACTATAATAATCTTAAAATAAATTAAAATTATAAAAATACTATGATTTCCGTCCCAAAATGATGTCGTATTCGACTTACTGTAGATAACTTATCTGCAATAATTGCAGAAAAAAGCGAACTCTTTTATATATTGTGAAAAATATTTTCGTTGACATGACATAATCAAACAAATAACTTGAATGCACATGATTCCACATATTCTTAATTATATTCTAGGAATTCTAACACGCACATTTCCCTCATTAATTTAATGCATTTAGGATACTTGATTTTCATGTTAATTCCTTAGTTTACAAATAATTTTTTAGGATTTGGTAAAAAAAAAAATTCAATTTAATCAGTGGCATGTTATGTTAAAATTAAAATTTAGTAAGAAATTTTTTGACATTCATACGATCTTATTCAACTCAAATCAGACTAGTCAAATAACATCTAAAAAATAAATAAATCTTTGACTCATTTTTTTTTCAAAAGAAAAATGCTATACCTCATGAATCAGATTTGATTTTCATTCACATATTTATTATTGAACCATTTTTATTTTTCTCTCTAATCATATCTTTGGTTTCCTAAAAAATAACATTACGTTCTATAAAAACTAGGGATTTTTAAAAAATAGTATTATATATGTGTTATTATTTTTGTTTAAATTTGGAGGCCCATAAATTTTCTAACTCACAGATTAGGCCGCGAGCTTGTAAAGGTGATTCGGCGAAGGCCTTTACTTCTTGGCCCATTTCATAGATCTTTCTTTACATCACTCCAGAAACTTGTGTACAGAAAAATCTGTGTTTTCACTCTCTCGAGGTCCTGCAAAACCCTAGATCGGATCATGTCTGGAGGGTACGGTCAAGACGGCGGCGGCGGTTCTTTGCCACCGTCCTATGGAGCTAGCGGCGGATATGGTGCTGCCGGTGGTTACGGAGCCGGAGCCGGAGCCGGTGGAGGCTATGGAGGAGGAGACGGAGGTGGAGGTTACGGAGCTAAAGTCAGCAGTGGCGGTGGATACGGCAGTAACGATGGTGGAGGATTTGGCGGAAGGAGCGGGTATGGTGGAAACGATGGAGGAGGATATGGAGGAAGGAGCGGCGGCGGCGGTCATGGTGGTCGAGGAGGTGGAGGTTACGGTGGTCGAGGTTTGTGGTTTTGTTATAATACTTTTTGTAATTTTGTTTATTTATTTTCAATCATATCATGTTCTTAATTCATGTGAATTTCAGCAGGTGGTGGTGGTGGTGGATTTCAAGGTGGAGATCGCGGTGGTCGAGGGGGTGGACGCGGGGGACGCGGTGGCGGTGGCAGTGGTAGAGACGGTGATTGGCGTTGTCCTAACCAAAGGTTTGTGATTTTGCTCTGGAGAATATTTCCTGTTTTTCTGTAATTCAAGCTTTGAATTTTTCTTATGTTTATTCTTACTGTATTTTATTCGAAATTGTTATACGAAGTTGTGGGAACTTGAACTTTGCGAGAAGGGTTGAATGTAACAAATGCGGTGCTCCGGCTCCTACTGGTGGTAATGATCGTGGGGGCAGTGGTGGTGGTAGTGGTGGTTATAACAGAGGGGGTAACAGTGGGGGATATGGCAATAATCGAGGGGGTAGATCTGGGAACTATGATGGAGGTAGAGGTAATGACTATAATAGTGGAAGGGGTAGTAATAATGATGGTAGAGGTGGAGGGGGCAATAGGGGTGGTTCATTCAGTGGTAATCAAGGCAGAGAAGATGGTGGCTATGGCCAAGTTACTCCTCCAACAGCCCAATCTTATGGTGGTGGTGGTGGTGCTAGTGGAAACTACCCACCCACTTACAATTCTTATGGTGGGAATGCAAATTATGGGACAGATGCAGTTCCTCCACCTACAAGCTATACTGGTGGACCTACTTCATATCCACCATCATATGGGGGTAACATGGGTGGTTATGGTGGAGATAATCTAGGTGATGCACGAAGTGCTGGTAGGGGTGGGCCTCAAGCTGGATATGACAGTGGTTACGGTGCTGGTAATCGTGGTGGGTTTGGTGGAGCTCCTGCTGAGTCCCCAGCTCCGGTGAAGCAGTGTGATGAGAATTGTGGGGATACATGTGACAACTCTAGAATCTACATCTCAAACTTACCACCAGATGTGACTATTGAAGAATTGAGGGAACTTTTTGGAGGCATTGGGCAAGTAATGTTCTGATCTGTTGACTTTTGCACAAGCTCTATATATTACGTTATTTTTCTTATTTTCTTATCATTTTATGTGGAAGTGTCTCTTTCAGAGTAAATTCACGTATTGTCTTTTTGACGCCTAAGCATATTTTTTTGGTTTATATCTGAAAAATGTACTTCATGTATAAGAATGACCTAGCCCTGTTGTGCTTTGGAAATATGATTATTTTCCACTTCTCTTTGTCTATCTGCAGAGGCTGAAAGTGAGATTTTGTAACATATTTTGTGTTTTAACTATTTAGGTTGGAAGAATAAAGCAGAAGAGGGGCTATAAAGATCAGTGGCCTTGGAACATAAAAATTTACACTGATGAAAATGGAAACAACAAGGGTGACGCTTGCCTTGCTTATGAAGACCCCTCTGCAGCACATTCTGCAGGCGGTTTTTACAATAGTACTTCATCCCGCTACTTTCCTGTTATATATATATGTATGATGTATCATTTAAAAAGACACTAATCTTGAATCTTGCATTTCAGATTATGATTTGAGGGGTTACAAAATTAGTGTTGCAATGGCAGAAAAATCTGCTCCAAGGGCTCAGCCTGCATATAACCATGGGTATCCATTCACACTGAATGTTGACTGTTTTTATTTGCCCGTGGTTGAATTCTTTTGAAGTATTTAGTTGTAGCAGTGTCATGATGTTAATGATGTGGATTGGGATCTAAAACTTGTGTTTTGTTTCATATAGTTCAAAAGTAACCTTCCAATCAAAACAATAATGAAAAAGTAAAAACAATGGAACGATTGTTATCAAATTTTGTTGAGGTTAATTAGATTGGTATTGGTTGTGTGCCTAACAGTTTTTTTGCTATGTATATTTATTACATAAATGACCTTGTACATCAACTGGATCATGTTTATATATGTTTGAATGTTTCCTTGTAAAAATTTATTAGTCTTTTAAAATTGAATATTGATTAATTAATCTTGTTCTATAGGGGCAGTAGGGGAGGCTATGGTGGAGATAGACGCAAAGATAATTATAGAGATGGAGGTGGTTCTGGGCCTGATAGGCGTGATAACTATGGTGGCAATCGTTCACGTCCATACTGAGCGCTTCAACATTGAACAGTTTTATGTACTATGAATTGTGGTCTGGGGATTTATTATTTCAGTTGGCTGGTTTCTTGATCTGGAAGCAAAGAGGTAGGTTGTTCGCTTACTTTGAGCAAGACCTCTTCGCTCCTTTTTTGTTTCATTTGTCACTGGCTGGTGGGTTTTGACTTTTTGTCAGGGATTAATTTAATTATGTGAATGTTTTTATAGAGGCAAGTGGATAGTCTCCAAATTGCTTGCAGCTAAGGTAGGTCAGTATTTCAGGTGAGTGCTGCTTTCATGAAAACGTGCTTTTATACTTGCTTGGAAATCAAACCATGTGTCATTATGTGGATAAATGCTTGCATCCATCCCATGTGGCATCTGGTACAAGCAAGTGAAGGCATTAATAGAATGTATTCTGTCAGTCATAGTTCTATGGACCAATAAATCCCAACTAGTGTGTGTTTCATGTTTTATTTGATTTTGCCAGGAAAGTAGTGATTCTGGCTTCTAATCACATTTATCTTAGCATCTATATACTATAATCGTTCAATTATAAGTTATACAATCATGGCCTGTTGGAATGCGAGGCACTGTAACCTAATGAAGTCTTGTATTGCCATTATGTTTCTTGATGACTGTTTTTAGAAGTTTTGATTTGAACTGTTTGAATTGGCCGCCAAGCAGCTCGAGGTAAAGCTATGCGAAGCGAGCAAGCTATTTTTACACATTATAAAGAATGCAATTCACTTTATCAATGTCCTTTTATTGAGTCGGAACATAAAGCCATAGCATATAGAAACAAGAATGCCACAAGTTAACTGTGTAATAAAAGTTTACATATTTTAATGACAATCAATATAAAATTCAACTAGTTAAATTGCTTGTTTTATGCAAAAACTATGATATTTTATTAAAATATTTATTAGTTACCATTTTGTGTCATGGCTTTGAGTAGCAAAACTAATACCTTTTTTGGAGCTCAGCTGAACAATGAATTACATCACAATATTATACCATATGTATTTTTGGAGGTTAACAAGTTAAAAGTGTCAAATATAAATATTGTTGTTCAAGTGATACGCAATGGCTAGTCAGACTTCATTTCACAATAGAAATAGATCTAACCTGTACTAATAATCGTCTGGACGTGAGAAATACTTTTGCATTTACATTATTTGTTTTATGTGAGGTGGAAGCTATTCTATTATTTGAAAACCTCTAGCTTTAGGTCATGTTTACTACCTCGATTTATTTGGTTTTTTTGACCTCTTATCTTGAACTGCTGCAGTTTTTTGAAGATTTTTTTTTTTTTTTATATTATTATTGTCTCTTTACATCATGGTGATCCATTCTTGGTAATTAAGTAGTAGCTAATAGTAATGTCAGGGTTCTTTTTAAATCTATTATTCGTTTTTGATGTTTTAGAGTGTCACATAGTAAACTTGTAGTTGGAGTTCGCACTTCGTTGTAGCTTTCCGCTGCCTGCTATTCTCTACAATGCATATTTATTTTTTTGTTTCCTGATGATTGAGTACAGTTGCGCTGTAGTATGATTTTATGTGTGACATTATTCTCGGGGATTGTGCATTTTGGTGTCACTTGCAAGCAGAATTTCATCCTTGGCTTCTTCCAGTTACAAACTTGACCTTTTACCCCTTGCTTCTATATTTAGCTTCTGTTCCACAGAAGAGTTCATAGTTTTTACAACTCCGATGTCCTTCAACACCCTAGTGTTTTGGTTCGTTGTAAATAGGCTGTTTAGGCTTTCTTCGGCTGTGATAGGTCTTTGCAGGTTGGTGCCTGGAATTTGTTGGTTGTGCAATGCTAAACCCATGTCTATCTTATCGATCTTCAAGTTGGTTTCATAGGATAATACTATATATTCATTAGTTATTTAAATCGCCGAATCTTTAACCTTCTATTTGTATTTCCTGTGTTTGCTATTTTGTTGAAACTATTTTCGTGAGGGTTGTAATATCCATTTCATCATTTGATTTGACATTGATATATTGTAACATAACGTAGTTTTTGTATCAAATCCTAGGATCAGCTTGTGTTCATTAACAATAATTTAGAAAATTAACCATGGTTCGCTTGAGTTCATAAATCTTAAGATTAAAAGGATGAAGGTGCTCGAGTGGTTTTGGGAGCTGTTCCCTATAATGAGTTCGCTGGTGAACATATAAAAAAAATAAGGGTGAATGTGTTCGTTATTTTAAAATCTTCATTTTTACCTCATTTGTAATTGAGTATATTATTTTAAAGAACCAACAAAATTTGTTCCGTAGAATCAAATGTTGAAAATTTTTAAAAACAATTAAATTGTTGAGTTTTATTGTGTTGTTAAAAAAAATTGTGCCAAAATGTTTTTAATCAAAACCGTTTGTGATGAAAAAGAATGTATTTATTGCATTGGGTCATTTATAGTGGGTTTCAATTTCTTTATAAGAGACTCATGGCTAAAGAAATATCTTATTGATAATTGGTTAATAAATATTTAAATGTCGTTATTTGCCCGTTTAGCATTAATCCGTCAATTGTTATTTAATGCGATCTAAACGTCAATGTAATGACATCAATACTTGTCAGTCATTAAAGACTTCTTTACAAGTACTATTGCACTATTCTTCCGTATGTTACATGAAAATTTCTGGGTTTTTTTTTTTTTTTTTTTTTTTTTTTTTTTTTAAGTTTAGGTTATTGCTAAAGGGCATAATATTACAAGCATAAATTGTAAATTAAATGACACCTCTTCTAATACTTGTAAATGGGGATAAGTGAACAGAATTACGTAACTAAATTGATCTCTTCTCAGTATTTTGTATGTTTTCAAAAAAGCTATTGATTGTATCCTTTTCTTTTCTTTTTGGTAAATTGATGTTTTCCTTTTCTTTTCTTTTTTGGTAAAACAAGTGATTGTTTCCATTTTACCTCATTGAAAGGGTACATTGCCTTTAAAATTGTGTCAAGTGTTATAATAATTTTTGAAAAAGTTTTTTGATAATGTTTATAATGGCTAAAAGTTTAAGATTAAATATTAAAGAACATGTATTTAAAGGAAGGTAAAAGTGTTTGTCATTTTAAATGACAGAAAATTATGTCACTTTAAGAGAGATACACACAGAGAAAATTTGAATTTTAAATTAAAAAAAACAACCCTCTTTCTCTCTCTCATGATTTTTGTTTTTCTGTGTCTATCTCTATCTTAAAATGACATAACTTATGTCATTTAAAATGACAAACACCAAACCCTTAAAAGAAATATTACCTTGCAATTTTTGTTAATATCATCTTGCCTTAGACTTGCATTTATTTTATTTATATGATGTTTCTGTCATATTCAATATAAAACTAAATATAACATATTTAGTGATTAAAAATGTGATAAAAATAATAATAACAAAATGAAAATAAATTAAAATGACCTTATCATTTTTATTAACAATTAAAACTAAAAAAAATTCAAATCTCAATCATTTTTTTTAATTTATATAAAAAAATCTCTATTTTATTTGACCATCTTTAATTTTCAAAATCACCAAATCAATGTTATAAACGGGACACAGATCGAAAAGCCACGCAATTCACACAAAAATACCAAAATGCCATGGATCGAATATTTTTTCTTTCAAAATGTCACGTCACCTATCTCGTTACAACACCAGATGAGTTAGGTATGGACATGTAGCAACAGGTTCATTCCCACATAAGCCGCTGCACAGTGCAGTGAGATTACGTGACAGATAACATGTCAAACTCGCTATGCTGCATATCATGTTATGTGCCAGCTTGGTGTTACATGTCTGACATGTGTCAAACTCACTATGCTGCATAGCTTGTTATGCGTCATCTTTTTTGACACGTGGCCATACATGCTATGCTGCGTAGCATATTATGTGTAAGTAATCCAGCAGTCCTACATTTTTAGTCTAATAAATTCACTAGTCCTAAAAATAATTAATAGTTCTAAAATAATTTAAATTAATAAAAGTAAATTAAACTAAATTAATTAACATACATAAATTAAATTTAATTCATTAACACTCCTAAATTAAATTACTAAACAATTAATTTTTTTTTTAACTTAACATAAACTAAATTAAATGAAATGAACTAACATTCCTAAAACAAATTAATTAATAGTTCTAAAATAATTTAAATGAATATAAACTAAATTAATTAAAATACATAAATTAAATTAAATTCGTTAACTCATCTAAATTAAATTAAATTACTTAATAGTTCAAAAACAATTAACTTAACATAAATTAAATTAAAATAATTAATACTCCTAAAAATAATTAATCATCAGTTCTAAAATAATTTAAATTAATATAGAAAAAATTAAACTACATTAATTAACAAAAACATAAATTAAATTTTAATTCATTAACACTCCTAAATTAAATTACTTAAAAATTCAATTTTTTTTAACTTAACATAAACTAAATTAAATGAAATTAATTAATACTCCTAAAAATAATTAATTAGCAGTTCTAAAATAATTTAAATCAATATAGATAAAATTAAACTAATTAATTAACAAACATAAATTTAATTTACCTCATTAATACTGCAAAATTAAATTAAATTACTTAAAAGCTAAAAATAATTTAACTTAACATAAATTAAATTAATTAACACTTCTACGTTAAATTAAATAAAGTTAACAGTCCTAAATTAAATTATTTTAACATAAGTTATTTAAAATTAAAATATTCAAATCAATATTAATTTTTCTTAAATCATTTTATTTCAAAATACAAAATGCAATAATTAAAATCATCTTATAATTTATTAGACCACAATGATGCAAGAAATGGGAAGGGAAATGGTGAATTTATTAGACAAAAAATTCTGGACTGCTGGGCTACTTACACATAATATGCTATGCAGCACAACATGTATGGCAACATGTCAGAAAAGCTGACACATAATATGTTATGCAGCATAACGAGTTTAACACTTGCCAGACACGTAACACGCCAAGCTGACACGTAACATGCTATGCTGCATAGCGAGTTCGACACGTTGTCTGCCACATAATCTCGCTGCATTGAGCAAAGGCTTACGTGGCCATAAACCTACTGCCACGTATCCACACCTAACTCGCTAGGTGTTGTAGCGAGTTAAGTGATATGGCACTTTGGAAAGAAAAAAAAATTTGGTCCGTGGCATTCAGGTAATTTTTTGTGAATAGTGTGGCATTTTGGTCGTTGTCCCATTATAAACATAGAAATAGAATTAACATTATATTTAAATTGTTTGCTAAAATTTTTTCTATTTAATTTAATCGTCTTCAATTATCAAATAGTTTAATAAATATAATTTATTTAATTACCTGAAAACATCTTCTCTCTTAATTCAATCATATATGGTATGCCAAAAATATCTCCTATCTTTATTTTGAAAAGAAAAAAAATCTTCAATCTCTTATATGATATAAGCAACTAATCCTTTCTTATTTATTCACAATTCAGATCTTGTTTCTTTTTACATACACATTTTTAAAGCTATATTTTATCTTTTTTGACCATTGAAACACCTTTACCAAATAAAAAGAAATTCATTATTTCTTCATGAAACATATATGCTGTTGACTCTCTTTTTCAAAAGTATTCCAAGATTTCAAATTCTTAAAAATTGAAAATCGAGGTATTTTATTGTGAAAAAAATTGATATAAAATCGATCCTGTAAGTGGGTAAATGAAAGTCTATTATGAAGTGTTGAAGGAGATTGAGATAGACAATGACTTAAACTTGAATCTTGAGATTTAATGAGAGATTGTTGACACATCCCATTGGTGTTGTGGTTCTTTGTAGAAATCTTTTTTATTTTTTGGATATAAGTTCTTCGTAGAACTCTAAGCAAGAGTTCATAAAAAAAATGTTCACATCTTGTATTTCTTAGAAAGATTGAATTTTTGTAAGAAATTCTTGAACACATTCTTGAGTGTTCTTGAAATCCTTTTGTTGAATATTGATTGAGAATGTGTGTGGGTTTTTAAATGCATATTTTCATTAATTATTGTTATAGTATTATTGATCAATCTTAAAAAAAAACTGTGTTTATTCGTCGATTGAAGATTTGGTTTCTATTGGTTTATACTCTAAAGGTACATTTAGTAAAAATTATTATTTTTTAAAATATTTATTTATTGTAATATTTAGTCATTTAGCCTTCTTGCATATTCACTGAAAATATGGTCTTAATTGAAATTTATTATTTTTCTTAAGTGCTTATTTGATTTTGATTTATTAATTCACTCATAACACTTATTGGTATATCTTTATTCTTGCATACTCAATTCATTTTTAGAGTAATATCAATATGTGTATGCTTGAATTTTCTAAGTGATTTGGATTGTATTGTTGTTATCTTGCACATAGAGGTGCTTATTTTCTTTATATATTCTTGTATTCAAATTGATCATAGGTTGTAGAATTTGTTTAATTTGATTGTATTGATTGTTGATCAATTGACCCTATATGGATAATCTTGAATCAAAATGATTTTGAGTATTTGGTTGGCTCGACTAGAGAAATCTCAAGGCTTGGAGTATAGAGTTGCCTAGGTGAGGGTGAGCCAGAAATAGGATCGGAGTGTGAGGTGCACATTGTCTTGATTCTTTGTTTGGCTTGAGAGTGATTTTTCGGAGCTTGAAGTTTGAATAAGGTTAGGTGGAACCACTTTGATGTAGGGAAATTACTAGGTTATCACTAGGCTATTGTTTGGTTGTAATAACACTTTGATAAAAGTTAGTGGTAACAAATACCAAATGCTTCATTGCCTATGGAGTGGACGTAGCCTTCGCATTTCACTTAGGGGGTTATGAATCACTATAAATGAGTATATAATCCTCTCATCCCTTATCTCTATTTATATTTGTTGTTATGTTGAGCTCCATTGGATTACTTTCTTAACCAATAATTTTGATATATTCTTCATATTCATTGCTTCATATTCTATCAAGTTAAATTGAGTAAGTTGTCC